ACGGCAATCTACTAATGCTACTTGAGGATTACCTCCAAGAAAGAACATTAAGAGTTGTGGTTAATGGTCACACAGCCAGTGTACCTCAAGGCAGTGTAATAGGACCACTTTTGTGGAATGTTTACTTTAATGAAGCTTATGCTTACACTGACGACTGCACTCTCAATTTCACCTGCTATACCCAAAACCGCACAGAGGAAGTTAGACACATGACACACTTGACTATATAATGTATTGGAGTAAAAAGTGGCAGGTTACTCTGGCACCAGATAAAACCCAAGCAGAGGTTATATCTAGATGTCAGACACCGGACAACGCCCTTGCATCCATCATTAAGCTAAATAACAAGGACAATACAATAGTATTAGCAAGGATATCAACATTCTTGGCATGCAGATTGATAATCACCTAACCTTCACCAGTCATGTCTAAGAGCTAGCAAAGAATGCAGGAAGAAAGTTGGCCTGTATACGACGCATCGCTCCTCTGCTAGACAGCAAAGGATGCGCAGTCCTTTACAACTCCCAAGTCCACTCTTTGATGGAGTATTCGCTGCTCGCCTGGCTGTCCTGCCCACCAACTCATCTTTCCCTCCTGGACACCGTTCAGAACAGAGCCCAGCAGCTAGTGGAAAGGAAGACGCCTGTAAATGAGCTGCCAACACATTTTCAGTCCCTTCAACATCGGAGAGATGTGGCTGGCCTTTGCGTCTTCTACAAGATACATAAACCAAATAGTTCCCTGCTGACATCGCTACGACTTCCACCAGCAGACGCACCCATGTACGAGACAAGAAATGCCAGTAATCGAATCCAAGAAGTCCAGGTTCCCTTCGCGAGAACAGAGCTCTATCTGCGCTCCTTCCTGCCTAGATTTTATAGAATGTGGAACATTTTAGCTCAGCAAACTAGAGGAGAGAGAGAGGAGAGAGAGAGGAGAGGAGAGAGAGAGAGAGAGAGAGAGAGAGAGAGAGAGAGAGAGAGAGAAGGAGAGAGAGACAGAGAGAGAGAGAGAGAGAGAGAGAGAGAGAGAGAGAGAGACAGGAGAGAGAGAGAGAGAGAGACAGGAGAGAGAGAGAGAGAGAGACAGGAGAGAGAGAGAGAGAGAGAGACAGGAGAGAGAGAGAGAGAGAGAGAGAGAGAGAGAGAGAGAGAGAGAGAGAGAGAGAGAGAGAGAGAGAGAGAGAGAGACAGGAGAGAGAGAGAGAGAGAGACAGGAGAGAGAGAGAGAGAGAGACAGGAGAGAGAGAGAGAGAGAGACAGGAGAGAGAGAGAGAGAGACAGGAGAGAGAGAAGACAGAGACAGGAGAGAGAGAGAGACAGAGACAGGAGAGAGAGAGAGAGAGAGACAGAGAGAGAGAGACACAGGAGAGAGAGAGAGAGAGACAGGAGAGAGAGAGAGAGAGACAGGAGAGAGAGAGAGAGAGACAGGAGAGAGAGAGAGAGAGACAGGAGAGAGAGAGAGAGAGACAGGAGAGAGAGAGAGAGAGACAGGAGAGAGAGAGAGAGAGAGACAGGAGAGAGAGAGAGAGAGACAGGAGGAGAGAGAGAGAGAGACAGGAGAGAGAGAGAGAGAGACAGGAGAGAGAGAGAGAGAGACAGGAGAGAGAGAGAGAGAGACAGGAGAGAGAGAGAGAGAGACAGGAGAGAGAGAGAGAGAGACAGGAGAGAGAGAGAGAGAGACAGGAGAGAGAGAGAGAGAGACAGGAGAGAGAGAGAGAGAGACAGGAGAGAGAGAGAGAGAGAGACAGGAGAGAGAGAGAGAGAGACAGGAGAGAGAGAGAGAGAGACAGGAGAGAGAGAGAGGAGAGACAGGAGAGAGAGAGAGAGAGACAGGAGAGAGAGAGAGAGAGACAGGAGAGAGAGAGAGAGAGACAGGAGAGAGAGAGAGAGAGACAGGAGAGAGAGAGAGAGAGAGACAGGAGAGAGAGAGAGAGAGACAGGAGAGAGAGAGAGAGAGACAGGAGAGAGAGAGAGAGAGACAGGAGAGAGAGAGAGAGACAGAGAGAGAGAGAGAGAGACAGAGAGAGAGAGAGAGAGAGACAGAGAGAGAGAGAGAGAGAGAGAGAGAGAGAAGGAGAGAGAGAGAGAGAGAGAGAGAGAGAGAGAGAGAGAGAGAGAGAGAGAGAGAGAGAGAGAGAGAGACAGGAGAGAGAGAGAGAGAGAGAGAGAGAGAGAGACAGGAGAGAGAGAGAGAGACGAGAGAGAGAGAGAGAGAGAGAGAGAGAGAGAGAGAGAGAGAGAGAGAGAGAGAGAGAGAGAGAGAGAGAAGAGAGAGAGAGAGACAGGAGAGAGAGAGAGAGAGACAGGAGAGAGACGAGAGAGACAGGAGAGAGAGAGAGAGAGACAGGAGAGAGAGAGAGAGACAGAGAGAGAGGAGAGAGAGAGAGAGACAGAGAGACAGGAGAGAGAGAGAGAGACAGAGAGAGAGAGAGAGAGAGAGAGAGAGAGAGAGAGAGAGAGAGAGAGAGAGAGAGAGAGAGAGAGAGAAGGAGAGAGAG